GGAAAAGAAAAAAAAAAAAAAAAAAAAAAAAAAAAAAAAAAAAAAAAGTATTCTATCAGAAGGGCCAAAAATCGTGGTTCTTCATACAAGTGTGAGTGCTACTAAATAAGAGCAAAGCAAACAAATACAACAAACATTCCCAGCTCTTAGCAAGGCTTTATTCATTTCCAGAAAAGACCTCGCAAGACGTAGCCAATCACTGCTTAGACTTAGAGGAAGACTCAAAGGAGGCTGAAGAAACCTGGCATACAGGTGATGACAGGGCAGCCCTCTCCCAGAGTTATTTATCCCTAAAGGCAGCTCAGGGGCCTTAAACACTGGTTTTCCCTGAGGTTTCTGCAGGGACTAGATGAATGAATTTGCTCAAAGCAGAAAGTAGCAGACTATGCTTGGAGAGACAATGAGGTGTGTTCAGATGCTGAGAGACTAGGTCTTTCACTAATTTATCCCATGACCCTGATGAGGCCACCACCGGCAATCAGTCTACAACCAAAATCCCCAGAGGCCTGAAAGGAGCACCAGAGCCAAGGTGGCATGGGCTCTGGGGACCAGGAGAATGTGTAATATAATGGAGGAAACCTAAGGATCCACTCCTCCAAAGACTGAGGAGACTCCACAGGCCAATGTGCAAATCTACCTCAGATGCTGAGGGCCATGAACAACCTCCCACCTCTCCCCAGGGCACATGGTCACTTGGCCATACAGCCATAAAATGCACCGGAGGCAGGCATGCCAGGCTGCCCAAGTGCTGATGGCCAACGAGCATGGAGCCTGTCGAGAGGCCAGCTAGGAAGCTTAGCTGCTTGTACTGTATCCTGAACCCAGTATCAGGTGGGGTAGGGAGAGTATGTGTGTGTGTAGTGAACCACTAAAAATAGGATAGGCACAGAGTGGTGGTGGTAGGGTGTCAGAAACTTACAAATCTGATTCTTTAACCCATATCAGCAGAAAGCAGCTGAGCACCGTTGAGCCCAATGGTAAGAATTCCCTCAAATGCACACCACAGGGGGCCGATCACAAATAGCACTGCCTCAGTGCTCCTCAGCACAGGCATTTCCTTCCACCCTTAAACAGATGTATCTTTGGGCTGGCTAATGAACACATACATGCTGTCATCAAAGGACCAAGCAAACACAATCTCTAGGGACATTCATCTTAGCAGCTGGATCTAGCATCAGGCTTGTGAGCTCCAAAATAAACCCTCTTCAATTCTCCCTTATCACTCTACCTAGAAAGTAAACTATTGGCCTCCAGAGAAAATAAAGAAAACCAAGCACCCACTAAAACAAGAATGCTTTAAAGGAGATAGAAAAGGCAGAGAGGAGCGTAAGGAAGAATATTAAATGGGTCTAAGGAAGTTAAATGCTTCATGAGGTAACTAAAAAAAAAAAAAAAAAAAAAAAAAAAAAAAAAAAAAATCACCAGCCTCCAAAAGATCCCAGACTATTCCAAGTGCTCCCAAATGATCACAACCATTGCCTATAGAATATGGTCCAAAGTCTTATCATATAGCCAACTTCAGCTTTCCTCCCAGCGGGCACCCCCACCTTTCGGGCTTCATGAGCAGTTACAGACATATGTACTCCTAAAAAATCACCTCGATATACAAAAGAAAAACACAGTGTTTATGAGAAAAAAATGGAATTAGGGGCACAACTCTCAAAAACCTTGTCAATGACACACAAAAAAGATAAGAACCCAGCAAAAATGGTAGCAGATGTTAACTGGTCAAGAAATACAAGTACATGTTAAATGGTGAAGAAATACAAATAACTGTGATACTTTACCTTGAAAAAGGCCTGAAGCTTACTTGTGGAAGTGGATCTCAAAAGGTTTTCTGTTTGTGAGTTATTGTGAAGTACAGGGAGGAGGGTGAATACTGTCATATCAGATGTGCATGGGAGTGACTCATACACAAGAAGTCAACTGAGGTAGCTGGTAGATGTTTGAGGTGTGTATGGTCCATGTGGCTTGCTTCAGCTGGGTTCAATTTTCTATGTTGACCTAGTATTTCTCACAGATGAAATTGTATATAGCAATCTCAAAATTCCCATTATGTTCAAGTTGTTCCCTATAATATGAA